CCCAGGGGCGCAGAAACAGGTCCGCGCGCCCTGGTTCGGCGGAACAGGCGCAAGGAAGGCCACGCCCTCGGTTGGTCTTGGGTAGTCCTTTGGGGGGGGCGCCCCGCCAAGGGGCGCAGAAACAGGTCCGCGCGTCCTGGTTCGGGAGAACAGCCCCCAGGAAGGCCGCGTCCTCCCTTGGTCGTGTGTAGTCCTTTGAGGGGGGGCGCCCCGCCAAGGGGCGCAGAAACAGGTCCGCGCGCCCGGGTTTGGGAGAACAGGGGCAAGGAAGGGCGCGTCCTCCCTTGGTCGTGACTAGTCCTTTGGGGGGGGCGCCCCGCCCAGGGGCGCAGAAACAGGTCCGCGCGCCCTGGTTCGGGCGAACAGCCTCCAGGAAGTCGGCGCCCTCGGTTGGTCGTGGGTAGTCCTTTGAAGGGGGCGCCCCGCCCGGGGGCGCAGGCAGAAACAGGTCGGTCCGCGCGCCCTGGTTCGGGAGGACAGCCTCCAGGAAGTCCGCGCCCTCGGTTGGTCGGCAGTAGTCCTATGGGGGGGGCGCCCCGCCCAGGGGCGCAGGAACAGGTCCGCGCGCCTTGGTTCGGGAGAACAGCCCCCAGGAAGGCCGCGCCCTCGGTTGGCCGTGGGGAGTCCTTTGATTGGGGGGGGGGCGCCCCGCCGAGGGGGGCAGAAAAGGGCGCACTTTCCCAGGGGGGGCGCCGGCTCCACGGGCGGCAGGGCCATCCCGTTCTGTCGCAAAAAAAATAAAAATCCTGCCGCATCATGGGCAAGAAAAGCCACCGCGGGTGGCTCTTCTTCGCTGCAAGGTCGCAGCGCGGGGACTCTGTCCCCGCGCCATGACCTTGTTTAAACTGCAGCAAGCCAGAACTTTTGAAGCTTTTGGGTGTGTTCTGGGGTATGCAAAGTGGGTCCGTAGCATCGTGATTTGTAATTTGCAGGCCACACCCCGAACACACCCCGGACACACCCCAGACACACCCCAGACAGACCCCCGACACACCCCCCCCGACAAGAACTGTTGAAGCTTTGGGGTGTGTTCTGGGGTATGCAAAGTGGCTGCGTAGCATCGTGATTTGCAATTTGCAAGACACACCCCGAACACACCCCGGACACACCCCAGACACACCCCAGACACACCCCCGACACACCCCCCCGTCACACCCCAGGTAGACCCCCGCCACACACCCCCGGAAGACAGCCCCGACACACCCCAGACAAACCCCCGGCGCGCCCTCGGCTACCACATCCAGAGCAGGGGGCAGAGAGCCTCAATATCCAGAGCAGAAAGCATACCTGGGTCCGAATCGAATAAATATCCAGAGCGGGCTCAAGTATCCAGAGCGGGTTTCCCGCACGGCCCAGGGGCAAAAGCCCTAGGTCAGCGCGGGGACTCGGTCCCCGCGTCATGACCTAGGGGCCAGCTTCGGGCGCTTCGTTCCCGGGCGGAAACTAACCGCACGGCCCAGGGGCAAAAGCCCTAGGTCAGCGCGGGGACTCGGTCCCCGCGTCATGACCTAGGGGCCAGCTTTGGGCGTTTCCCGGAAACTAACCGCACGGCCCAGGGGCAAAAGCCCTAGGTCAGCGCGGGGACTCGGTCCCCGCGTCATGACCTAGGGGCCAGCTGCTTCGGGCGCTTCCCGGAAACTAACCGCATGGCCCGGGGGCAAAGGCCCTAGGTGAGCGCGGGGACTCCGACTCGGTCCGCGCGTCATGAATTAGGGGCCAGCTTTGGGCGCTTCCCGGGAACTAGCCGCACGGCCCAGGGGCAAAAGCCCTAGGTCAGCGCGGGGACTCGGCCCCCGCGCCATGACCTGGGGGCCAGCTACTGCACCGGCGCTATGGGCCAGCTCCTTCCTTTCTTTTCTCTTTGTTCGTGGTAGGCTAACGGACCCAGTGTGGGCAAGCAGTCAGGGGAGCTCCGTCCGCAGGTCTGTCGCGGATCAGGGAATGGATGCAGGACACACAGAGACACCGAGCTGCAGGGGCCTGCCTGCCCCGTGTCACCACAGCCGCCGAACTCGTCCCAGACAAATGCCGGAAGGTCGCCGCACGGGGACTCTGTCCCCGTGCTCGGACCTTGTTTGTCATGCGCCACTTGCAAACTGGGCTCCAGCTTGTATCGCTTTTCTGCATTACAGATTATTTCAACTTTGACGATTTCGATCCTGACGCTTCCATATGGCGTTTCTTGCTAGTACTCTTCCTCGCTGGCTATCCGACCTGCTGTCACGCACTGCAGCCTCCTCGTAACAAGAAATCCTCAGGCCGGCTGCCTCGTGCTGCTGGTCCTCGTTGGCAGATTAAACAGCCGACTTCGACTGCTCCCGAAGCTCCTATTACCGGTGGTGAGCTAGAAGCTGTCCTCCCAGTCCCAGTAGCCGCCGATGCGCCTTGTTCTGGGGAGCTACTAGAAATCCGAACCGTGTCGGGT